CCGATTGAAAAAGACAACCGCGTCCTCAGTTGCCAGCCCTTTCCACGTGCGCCTCCGTACCTCTGCACTTTACTTCCGCACCTCCTCTGAGTCTCAGTGTGCTTTTCTCTTTCCTTATAGTTGTAGAATTTCCACTCAGCCAGCCTTCCTGTGGTTCTGGATGATGTCCATTTTGGTTTTTAGTTGTATTTTTGAAGTGGTTGTGCAAGGCAGCAATTTCCGGTGTTTACCTATGCCGCCATCTTGGTTTTTCCCGCCTCGCTGTGTTTTGTGCAGCTCCCTCACATTCTATTTGAGGTTCTTGCCTTCTAAATTATTTTAAAAAATGAGTTATTAGTCTAACCTAGAGATTCAAGATCACAAATTGTGGCCTACTGTAAGGGTATAAAAGATTTACAAAAATGCCACTGAGCTCTAGCTGGTTTGGCTCAGCGGATAGAGCGTTGGTCTGTGGACTGAAGGGTCACAGGTTTGATTCCGGTCAGGGGCGCATTCCCGGGTTGCAGGCTTGATCCCCAGGTGGGGACATGCAGGAGGCAGCCGATCCGTGATTCTCTCTCATTATGGATGTTTCTATCTCTCTCTCCCTCTCTCCCTTCCTCTCTGAAATCAATAAAAATATATTTTAAAAAAATGCCACTGATAATCATTTATTTAACAATGTCTAGCCTGACAATACTCTTGAATCCCTTGTTCATAATAGAGTAGGGTTTAGTTCTATAACACATTTTCAGAAAAAGAAACAATTAAGATAGGACAAGGAAAACGAGCACTGAGGAAAGGTTTATGGAAGAGATGACATTTAAGCTGGGGTGCAAAGAAAACTAAAATTAAAAAATAAAAAGTATCCCATATAATAAAAACCTAATATGCAAATTGTCCCCTCAGGCAATCGTTCAGACTGGGAGACCTGGAGTTCGACCGCTCGCTATGACACGCATTGACCACCAGGGGGCGGCGCAGAACACGACAGGCGTCGGTGATGCAGCACTGGCAGCAGGTGGCAGTGGAGGCGCTGCCGGCTCTGATGGGCGCCAAGGAGAGTGGGACCGTGGCGGGATGGTGGAGCAGGTAAGAGGGCGGCACCAGGCCAAGGCGGGTGCAAGCGGGGGCCCAATTACTCCATAGATGGTGACCAGCAGCGGCAGCAGGGGGTGGGGCTGCCGCCCAGCTCCTAGGTGCTGAGGGAGCCGGGGGTGGGGTGGGTCTCGGCCCCAATCGGTCGCCCCACAGGCAGGATGGTGGAGCAGGTGAGGGGGCGGTGCCAGGCCAAGGTGGGGTGCACTGTGGGGCTGCGAGGCTGGGGGCTGGGGCCCAATCTCTGCAGGCCACCCCAAGGGATCCCACCCATGCACAAATTCGTGCACCGGGACTTTAGTAAAATTATAAAGCTGAATGGAACTCTAACATCATCTAATTCAGTGGTTCTGAACTGGGGTTGACTCTGTCCTGCAAGGCACATTTATCAATGTCTGGTGGCATTTTTGGTTGTCATTACTGGGGAGGGGCACTATTGGCATTTAGTGGGCAGAGGCCAAGGACAATGCTAAATATCCTACACTGCACAAGAAGCTCCTAACAACAAATTATCTGGCCCAAATGTCAATAGTGCCAAGGCTTTCTCCGAACTCAACTTTGTTTTACTCAGAAGGTAACTGAAGGCTAGAGGGATTTAAAAATTTGCTTAAAAGCCAAGATTATAAAACAGGCCTCATAACATCTTGTCCAGTGTTTACGTTAAAACACACACCCACATGTTTTTACACTAGGAAACAGCTGTTAAAAAGAGTGGTAACATCTTTATAAGGTGGCAAAACAAGCTATCTAAAAATCAAAGCTGATATTGTTAAATGGCTTTTCTTGGCTCAAAGAAAGAATTATGCTACATTAAAAAAATTATACCCTGATTTGTTCATAATACCATATTTATCATTGATACAACTCAGTTATTGAACACATATCTAAGAATAAGAAAAATTACAATAAAAACTAGGAAGCTGGAAGACCAGCATTTGCTTGCACACCCAGTTACTCCATGGGACAAGTCTTTTAAGCTCCACCAGCTCCACCCACTGGGGATCTGGGACCTAGCTAGGATTGATTAGCATCCTTTATTCAAAATCAACTCCTGAGTTACCCTTCCATTTGCTGCTGAGCTTTCTAGTAACAAATTAATTGTACAAAAAACTTGCTTAGAGTCCTGATTTAGGACCTAAATCTAAACACGTGAAATCACCTGAACATCTTTTCCCTGCTCTTAAATGCATAAAAGGGATGGGGATAAGGGAGTGAGGTAATATCAATAACATGGATTAGTTTTCAAAAAAGTTTTTAATATATTACAGGAATACACGGACACAAATATACACTCCTTACCTCCAATTTTTCAACTGGTGAAACTTTAACTATGGTAAGTTGTCCAGATTGACATGTGATAATTCATGATAAAAAATCTTGAAGAAAAGGCTGAAGACACTGTCCTAAAAAGAAAAAAGACCAAAGAGGTAAAATTCAAACTGTGAAAGGTTTAAGGAAGACAGCATGAACACAAGGTCACAAAAAAGAATGTAGCCATTTATACATCTTTACTACCTGAAATTTCAGCAAATGAAGTTTCTGTTCCTAAATACTAACAGAAAATTCATCTGCCTGAATCACCCTGCTCCACTTCCCAGTCAGTCACCTCTAGTACCTAAGGCAGAGCTGGCAACAACAGAGTGGATGGCTAAAGCTTTTCTGAGGTTTTGGCTTTAGAGAAAGCTAGGAAGAGGAACTTTAGTTGCATCTCTGGCAAACCATTAGGGGTCCCCACGGCTCCCCTTGATGTTCTAGGTATTAAATTTTAATAGGTTTGATTACAAAACTGCACCATAGCCATTAAAGGACTGGAATTCAAAGAGGTGAGCCAAGCATTCCAGAAGAAACTAGAGGTTAAACTGTATCTGACAGCCTGATAGGCAGAGGGACAAAAGGAAAACCCTCTTCCCCTACCGTCAGGTTAGGAACCTGAAGGGCTGCACCTTAGAAATAGGGGTGAACCAGAACATACACTGAATGCAAATTGGTCTTGAGTCATCTGATTGGCCCTGAAAAATCTCAAAAGTGGAGATCAGACTAAGTAATCTTGGATTCCCTCAAGGAGATGCCACAAAAAAAAAATTCCTTTCTGGAAGACATTCTTGATCTCAGATGATTTTTTAAACAAAATTTTCAGCACACAATTAAAGATAATCAGGCATATGAGGAGACAAGAGGACAAGATTAAAAGCTGTAGAAACAACAAAAAGAGACAGGCACTCCAAATATTAGAATTATCAAGCATAGATTTTAAATTATGTTTACTATGTTCAAGGAGGTGAAAACCAAACTTGATCTCAGTAATTAAATGGAAACGATAAAAAGTGACACAGCAGACTTCTAAAAGGAGCAAAAAGTAATTTTTAACTGTAAAATACAAAAACTGAAAATAAGAATTCAGTGAACAGGTTAACAGCCAATGGACACAGTTGAGACAGTGAATCAGAAGATAGGTCAGGGGGAAAAGCTCAGAATGAAGAGAGGGTAAGAAACATGAGGATACAGCGAGGAGGTCTAACATCCAACTCAGTTAATTGGAATCCCAGAAGGAAGAGAGAGACAGAAACATTATGTGAATGGCTGAAATTTTCCAAAAACAATGAAAGATGTCAAACAACAAATTTAAGGATCTAAATGAATTCCTAAACGAAAATCGACAAAGAAAAACTTAAAAGCACCCCGAGGGTAGAAAAAATTACTTTCAAAGCAACAGATGGATAGCTTAATTCTCAACAACAAAAAATGGAAGCTGAAAGACTGTAATGGTATCTTGAAGAAGCAGAAAGAAAAACAACTGCCAACCTTGTATTGTACTGCAGAGAAAATATCCATCAAGAATGAAAATGAAATATTCTCAGACAAATAAAAGCAGAGCTCACATCCAGCATACCCCTATTAAGAAATCATAAAGCAACAGAAAACTGGCCCAAAATGAAAAGTTACAGATGCAGAAGTAAACATGTAAAAAATCTAATGGGACACTGACTGTGTAAAATGATAATGTCTTAAGGGAATTAAAATGTGTATTATTAAGTTATATACATTAAATCTGTATAGCTTTTGAACATATATACACACATCTCTACATACACATATACATACATATAGAAAATTAAATTACAGCACAATAGCAAGTATGTCAGGAAGTAAGTAAATGGAATTAAGGTATTTTTAATGTTCTTGCTCCAACCAGGAGAAAGGTAAAAGTATCAACACTAGACTCTGGTAAGTGAAGGTAATCACAAAAAGAATTAAAATGGATATGTGCTATCTGAACCAATAAAGGAAAAACTGACATAGAATAATCATTCAAATGAAAGGAAGAGAAAAAGAAATACAGAATGGAAGGGGCAACAACGTGATGCTGTATATAATATTAGTAGTTACATTAAATATAAATGAATTAAATGTTCCAAAAAAGAAAAAGATTATCAGACTAGATTTTTAAATATCTACAAATATATGTTGCTTTCTAGAGGCTCATGTAAAACATAATACAGAAAGGTTAAAAGTTAAAAGTAAAAGGATAGAAAAATACATCATGTAAACATTAGCCAAAATAAAGATAGTATAGCTAAATTATTTTCAGACAAAATAGAAAAGCATCACTAGAGTTAAAGGAGTCACATTAAGAATAATAAAATGTTTACGTCACCAGAACACTATAATTAACTAAATTTGCATGCACTTGATAGCATGGCCTCAAATTATATATACAGCAAAAGTTGACAGAACTACTAGGAGAAATAGACAAACATCAGTATCATTGTGGCTGATTTTAAGATATCTCTCAGTAGTTGAAAGAATAAGCAGACAAAATAATCAGTTAGGACACAAATACACACAATTACCAATATATAACACTACATCCAAGAGCTGCAGAATATATGCTTTTCAAGCACTTAACATATTTACAAAAAAACTGACCACATGCTAAGCCATAAAAGTAAATCTCAAGAAGTTTTAAAACTTCTTGAAATCACGCAAAGAAAGTTCTCTAAGGAAGTTGTGATAAAACCGGAAACCATTACCAAATATGCAGAGTTAGAAAATTCTCATATTACTGGAAATAAAAAAATACATTTTTAAATAACTCATTGATCAAAGAAAAAATTACAATGAAAATAAGAAAATGTAAAATTAATAATGAAAATATTACATATCAAAAATTATGGGATGCTGCCCAGCTTCTGTGGCTTGGTTGGTTGAGCATTGTCCCATGCAGTCCCATGCATTCAGAGGTCACTGGTTTGATCCCCAGGGTGTGTGTGGGTGGGGGGGGGGGGGGGGGGGGGGGGGGGGGGGGGGGGGGGGGGGGGGGGGGGGGGGGGGGGGGGGGGGGGGGGGGGGCATGCAAGAGGCAGCAATTGATGTCTTTCTCTCTCTCTCAAAAGTAATAAAAACATTAAAAAGTATTTTTAAGTTAAGGGATGCTGGTAAAGCAATGCTTCAAACTGAAAGGTGTGGTTTTATATGCATGTTGGGAAGGAAATAAGGGGGCAAATTAGTACCTAACTACCCCTGTTAAGAAGTTATAAATAAATAAAAGGAAATAACTTAAAAGCAGATATTAAAAAAACAAAACAGAAGAACACCCATACAATTGGTTCTTTAGAAAAATTTCTGTAATTGCTAAACCTCTAGTAAGATTATCTTTTAAAGGAGAGGAAAAAGATACATGTGCCCAGCATCAAGAATGAAAAAGATCCATGAGTAATAAAAACATATGTCTGCACAAAAATTTGTATATGAATGTTCATGGCAGCATTATTTGTAATAGTCAAAAAGTGAAAACAACCCCAAATGCCCATCAACTGATGAATGAATAAATAAAATCCCAGAAATAAATCCACATTTATATGGGCAAATAATTTTTGATAAAGGAGCCTCTTTAATAAATGGTGCTGGAAAAATTGGAAGGTCAAATGCAAAAGAATAAAATATACTGTTTGTCTTCATATACAAAAATTAACTCAAAATGGATTGAAGACCTAAATATAAGATCTGAAACAACAAATTACACAGAAGAAAACATAGGTACTAAACTAAACTTATGGACCTTGTTCTTAGAAAGGATTTTATGAATTTGACCACAAAGGCAAGGGAAGTAAAGGCAAAAATAAGTGAATGGGAGTATATCAAACTAAAAAGCTTCTGCACAGCAAAAAAGAAACCAAAACAAAAGGCAACCAATCAAATGGGAGAAGATTGCAAACAACAGCTCTGATACATGGTTAATATCCAAAATATATAATGGCCAAATTTTTATAAACATGTAATTTATCAAACAGTTGTTAAAAAAACCAAAAACATCAAGCATCTTTTCTGACCACAATTATATAAAACTAGACATCAATTACAAAAAGCAAACTGGAAAATGCACAGATATGTGGAGATTAAAGAACATGCTACTGAACAACTAATGAGTCAATGAAGAAATCAAAAGACAATTAAAAAAAACCTTAAGACAAGTGAAAATACACCATACCAAAATTTATATATTCAGCAAATCTAAGAGGAAAGTTCATAGCAATAAATGCCTACCTCAATAAACAAGAACCGTTTCAAACAACAAAACATTAAACCTCAAGGAACTAGAAAAAAGAACAAAGCCCAAAATGAGTAGAAGGAAGGAAATAACAAAAACCAGAAAGGAAATAAATAAAATAGAGATGAAAAAGACAACAGAAAAGGGCAATGACACTAAGAGCTGTTTCTTTGAAAGGATAAACATAATAGACAAACCTTTAGACTCAACAAGAAAAAAAAAGAGGACTCCAATAAATAAAATCATAAATAAAACAGGAACCCTAGCTGGTTTGGCTTGGTGGATAGAGCATCAGCCCGCGGACTGAAGGGTCCTGGGTTCGATTCCGGTCAGGGTCACATACCTCGGTTGCAGACTCGATCCCAGGCTCATGAGGGAGACAACCAATCAATTGCCTCCCTCTCACACATTGATGTTTCTCTCTCTCTCCTACCCCCCTTCTATTCTCTCTAAAAATCAAAGGAAAAAATGTCCTTGGGTGAGGATTAACAAACTAAAAACAGGAGGCATTATAAAGATATCACAAAAATATAAAGAATCATGAGAATACAATGAATCATGACACTACATGAACAATTATATGTCAATTTCTAGAAACATACAACCCACCAAGTATGAATATTGAAGAAATAAAAAATCTGAACAGACTGACTACTAGGAGAAAGAATGACCAATACCAATCCTTTAGAGAAGACTTCTAAACTCATTTTACAAGGCCAGCATTACAAGTGTTGGCGAGGATATGAAGAAAAGGGAGCCTTGTGTACTGTTGGTGGGAATATAAATTATTGCAGCCACTATGGAAAACAGTATGGAAGTTCTTCAAAAATTAAAAATAGAACTACTATATGATGC